AATGAAATATGAAAAACTTAAAAGTACATGCAACTAGTTCCAGATAGGTTTAATATAGATTCATCTACTTGGAATTCAGTCTTTTAATCACTGCACTATATTATTTACCCAATTGTGATAGATTTCCATCACGATAACAAATACCTGATATTATCAACTTATACTGAGAATAGGGTTATTTTGGCTCATAGTTTTGGACATTTCAGTCCATGATCAGTTAACCTTGTTGCTTTTGGGCCTGTGGCAAAATGACACGTCATGGCAGGGGCGCATATAGAATAAAGTACAGCTCACCTCATGGCCAGGAAGTGAAAATGGGAGAGAAGAGACTTGGATCCTACATGCCCTTTGAGGGCGTGCTCCTCATAACCTAAAGACCTCCACTAGGCTCCACCCCTTAAAGGCCCCATAACTTCCTGATAGTTCCACTCTGTGGAGCAAGTCTCCTCCTTTGGAGAACAAACAATATCAAACTATCCAAACTACAGCAACAGCATAGCACAGGAGCCATCTAAATATTTTTCCTAATTTTCAGTCATCACACGGAGCCCCTTCTTGCTCACTGTCCAGTTATGGTATTTTTATTTTCATTATACTCAAACATTTGATACACGTAATGATTTAAATTACAACTTACCCATTGCACTATCGCTGCTTTACCTAGACCTGAGAATAATTTAAGCTTAGTATCTTGATTTTGGAACTAGACTATGTGCATTTGATTTATGGTTCTCAACTAATTGGTGTCTTTAGGTAGGATACTTGGCCTCTCTGTGCCTCAGTCTTTCCCTCTTATGAAATGCAGTTCATAGCAGTACCTACTCAAAAGGTCCACATCCACGCCCACCCAGGAGCAAAAGTTTCATGCATCTGTTGTCCGTCCTCATATGAAGTGCTTGAGGAGATGGCATTCTGGCCTTTTGCACACCTTAAACCATACCAGAGCCTGAAACCCCTCATCTCAGAGTCCACACTCTTTAAATATATGTCAAAGGTCCTTTCTAATTTCATAACAACATTAAAGTGTCTGTTGAGGAGAGAATTCCACAGATAATAGTTAGCCAAAGACTTCAATCCTCTAAGAGTGACTTCTGGTGCAACTAATATGAGAAATGTGTGTTCCTTTTGATTGGATTATCTATCCTTTGATTCTTCTGCCTGGACTTTAATATTGCAACCTCCAGGTCCTATAACATGTATCAGCATGTTACTGATGGTCAGGGAATGAATAAAAGCATTGTTGGACAGATCCATTTTTTTCCAGAAAGGCAAAAAAGGATAATAAATAAAAGGGTATCTTGGGAGGAATTCTTGAGTGAGAGCTGAGGATAAGTTTTCCCTTCTTGGGCCAGTAGAGCCAAACTCTGACCTGACAGTGTGGCTGGAGGGTGATTGGGGAGGAGAGAACTGGCTTTGGTTCTCCCCTGGATTGCTGTGTGGCCTCAGGCTTTAGAATGGCCTGGCCTCTCAATTCCTCAACAAGCCAGTATGGGCAGGGCCTTATCTTGTGCTCTTGGGAGCTGAGACAGTGAATTAAGGTGAAGGCAGTCTTCGGGATCCCTTCATGAGAGGAGCTGAGCTAGTTGGAAGTTCAGCTGCCCAGGCCAGGCATTCTTACATCATTACAAACTCAAACTTGTGACCTCTACATCTTGATTCCAAGCCTGCAGCGAATATTTTTGAACACTTTAGCATCATCCGCTGGGATGCTTTTGAGCTGTAGTACACTGAGGAGTTTGACTTTAAGGCTTTCATTTTGGCCCTGGCTCAACTGCGAGCACAGAATTGCATTGCTGTTTTATTTTCCTGTGTACAGTTGAGGGCCTAGAAGTCTGAAGGAGTTCTTCTGTCTTCATTGGAGTTTAAAAAGTCTGAGAGCAAAAATAATGTCTCTCCTTGCAGGCTCTTCTTGGGCAGGATTTAACACAACAACACAGTGTTGGGGGATAAAGCAAAGGGGGTAATTTAAGGCAAATTATTCGGGAAAAAAAACAGGCACTGTAAGTGGTGTAATTGGTTAACCTTCACATTCCTTTGGCTGAGTGTATGGTGAGCCTAAAGTCCATTTTGTATATTTCAGAGATTCTTTGGCAGAATTTTTCCGAAGGTCTCATGTTCCACGGGGAACCCTTTAGGGACTGAGATTTCTCTGGGAATTCACCACTCAGGGCCCGGGTAATTTATAATTGACTTCCTTCATTGTTTTGTGTAGAGGGCAGGCAACAATTCCATCCCATCCCCTCTTGAGAGCTTAAATCCAAAATACAGAATGCTTTCAGGGAATCCCAACACATTCTTAAACGATACATTCACCTTCCCTTCATTGGTCCTCCTTGCTAATCTGTCCTATAGTCATGATCTGTTCTCCTCCCCTCCCTCTTAGGTCAACCCGACTTAGAACTAGCTCATAGCTTACTCTGAGTGTATCATTTGTTGATCGTAAAGTCTATTGGGCATAGAGAATTAAAAAGACTCCAGCTCTCCAACTAGCTCTACCATAGACAAGCAGCATGACCTCAGGCGAGACACTCTTTCTAACTCCCACATCTGTAAAATAGGGATAACAATAATAATGATGACAGTTTTATTTGGAGTAGATCATAAAACAATACATGCAAAGTATCTGGAAGAAGACATTCAATACATTTGACTTCCTATTAATCAGCCACCTGAATAAACCTTAAACTTGCATAGTCCACAGGATGAAGATAATTGTAGCTACCCTGTTACCTTATTCGTGTTTAACTATGAGAATCAGGAGATAAGATGTGTGTTTAAAAAAAAAAAAAACTTTGCAAGTTGGAAATTACTGAATAATATAAAGTGTCACTTTCGCTTGGCTGCTGCTCTGTGGGGTGAAAGCTAGCAGCTCAGGCCAGCTCTGTAGGGCAGAGCCAGATCTCTGCAGTGTCCACTTGTTCTGGATCTTTCCTCCCTCTCTCTCCCTCAGGATGGAGTGCTATGTTGAAAGACTCTCCTTTCTCTCTGACATGATTTCTTTCTGCTCTGCAGGCTGTTCTCCAAAATGAGTAATGACAATGCCCTGTTTTCGATGAGGCAGAACACCAACACTAAATTGTGTCATCGCCTCTCTCAGGCCGTAAAGTAGCATGTGGTGGGCCCAGCATCCCAGTGAGGGAATGGCCACCCTGGTGTGCTGGACGGATCCAGCCTGTTGAATCCATTGCTCAGATCCCTTGGCAGCCATTTAATATTATGACTTTCTCTCCTTTTCTCAGAACTGTGCTTCCTCCTGTCTCCACATGAAGCATGAGTGGACTGGGAGAAGGTTGGGAAGACGAAGGGCTCGGAACAAGAGCGGAAGATAAGAAGGATAGCCACTCGCATTTATAGAGTGCTTTACATTTTATAAAGCTCTCTAACATATATTGTTAGCTAAAAAATCATGCACATTAACGTCCTAAGCCTCCAGGCCTCTTTGGTGGTAATGCCTACTTCCTAGGGTTGAAAGCATTGCAGAGTCATACAGGTAAACAGTGTGTCTGGGACTCATTTCTTCCTTTCACAATATTTGTGGACTGTCTTCTGCTTCCTAAATGCTCAGCAGTGGGGATAGAACAGTAAATATGACACAGCCAGGCCCTTGTCCTAGAGGAACTCACACCCTGGGGACATATTATAAGCACACACACATGCTTGAAAGCTAGCAGATTATTAATGTGGGAATTGAAAGGAATGATGGCTGAAAGAGAAGTTACAGAAATACAATTTATCTTAATTAGGCACTGGAAGTGGAGTGGGAAAGGAAAAGCCAGGACTGTTCTCAAGGTTCTAGGTGGATCAAGCGAAAGGATCATGCTTCCAAAAGCAGAGATCCAGGGACCACTGAAGAAGAGATGGGCTGGGGTGGTGTGCAGCCTCTGTATGGACTCCTAAAGATCTCTGCTTGCTGATAATCGTGTCCATTTCCTCCGAGTGAGGGCCAGAACTATGGATGGCAGAAGCGACGAGATGTCGCTTCCAGGATTGAGTTTTAAGACTGAGACTCCTGGCTTGATCATTCTCTGTCTCTGTATCTCTGCCTCTGTGTGTCTCTGTCTTTTATCTCTCTCTTCCAGCCCCTCAGATTTCACACCACGTGAAGCCAGCTGCCATGATGTGAGTTACCTACTGGAAACATCCACATGGCGAAACACTGATGTTCAGCCAAACCCGAATCTCTCCATTTGCATGATCTCTCGATTTGACCTTGGAAGTCGAACTCGGATTGACTTAAGTAGCAAGCTTGCAAGTACAACTTCCTCAGTCAAAAGATGATGGCAGCCCCAGCCAGCACTTCAGTGTTGACCTCTTGAGAGACCATGAGAAAGCTCTGCCCATAGCCCTACTCATATACCTATTAACTTACTCAGAAAAACTGAGATAATAAATGTCCACTGTTTTCAGCCATTATAGCTTAGATTCATTTGTTACTGAAATGCCTATGATACAATGAATAACTCGTGCAGAGTTTTAGTTCATTTTGGAGCTTTCTGTTAGAGGCACATGAAGAACATCTAAGCATTAGCTGTTAGGCGGTATGATAGGTGCATCTCGAGTTCATCTCCCCAAGAGCAGGCAGGAGAGCAGCACCAGAGGTCAGTGGCGAGCAGTAATGAAGGACGAGAAAGCACAAGGCAGGGAGGTCCTTCTTAGTAGAGTGACTTTCAAGGAAAGGGAAAAACGGAAATATAGTATGAACTGCTCCTCAAGAGAAGATAAAGAGTTCCAAGACAGTTACACACACACACACACACACACACATTTAAGTAGAGAGAAAGTTAATCAATTGGTGAGGAGTAAAAATATTTATATTGGGAGTAGAATTGCAATTTGGAAGGAAGGCTGAAGTTAAAGAAATATGAGAGAATACAATAAAATAAGGCTCTAGAGAGAAGAGGAAGAGATGGAGTGAAAAGACCTAGTGAAAGATGAGACCTTCCAAAGGGAGGCACACTGATCTCTGTTATGGAGCCATTTAGCAGGGTATAGTGGCTTACCACAGGGTCCACTTATTATGGTGTAGCTTCTGTGAGTCGGGAGCCACCCACATGGAGCCACCCACGGGAGCCACATGGCTTCACTGGGTCCTGCTCAGGTTTTTTACAACCTGCAATCAAGGTTCACCTGGGCTGCCTTCCTTTCCAGGTGCTCTTTCAAGCTCAATTATTCAGTCACTATGGTGGTAGAACTTTCAGCTCCTTGGTACTACTTGCTATTCCTAGATACACAGCGATGTCACAGACTCTCTTTCACAGCATGGCCACTTACTTCTTCCAGGTCAGCAGGAGAATCTCTCTAGTCTGCTAAGACAGAGCCTCACAGGGAAAAAAAATATATATATATAGATAGATAGATAGATAGATAGATAGATAGATAGATAGATATAGATATAGATATAGATATATAGATATATAAAATCAGGAGATGATTTCCCACCAACTTTGCCATATTCAACAGGCTAAAAGCAAGTTGTAAATTTCACTACTTTCAAGGGAAAGGGAATATACAAAAACATGACTCACTAGGGGACCTCTTAGGATGTGTCCATTATAGGAGAGAAGAGTAGGGAGAGAGACAGATAACTCATTTAGCATGGGCAGTTGCTGGGAAGACTTTTTTTTTCCAAAGAGTACTCATGATGTCAGACAGCCCACTCTCTCAGACACCCAGCTATCAAAGTTCTGGGGAGAGACTCCACTCTTGTCCGAATGGACCCTAGTGGCATTATCTCAATTATATAGGGGCACACTTTCATAATGCCTGTGTTAAGGAATAGAACAAGCCGTGAGTTTCAGAGTACACCTATTTTCCAGTATTCTTTTTAAGGATGCAAGTTTGTTACACAATGTAATCAGTGTTGGCAGTGGCTCTAGAGAGACACCAAGAAGTATGAAATAAAGACAGGAAAAGTCTGGGACTTAAACGGACTATGTAAGGGGTTACCAGTGCAGACTGAGGCAGCACAGTACCTGCCTACAGCTCAGATTCTCATCAGTAAGATGATGAAGTACCTCACGGGTTTCCAAATGAAACCTCTAAACCTTTGAAGTTTGACAGAGTTTACTTAGGATTTCAGCAAATGGCGTTTGCCACTGGAGAATAAATATTTCAGTTTCCTGAAGAATCCATTGGTTCATCTATTATTCATTATCTATTTGACATCTCAGGGTTCTTGTCAAGAATTCTATGAAAATGGAGCTCAATTCCTTTTAATTCTTCAAAATAAGTATGAGAATCACAAATAAAAATTAAAAAAAAAATAAGTATGAGAACCACAGAGCTAGTCAACCTCCAGGATCTATCTCTGGCTTTCTTTGCATCCACAAGGCACAGTGTTCAATGGGGATCTAAAACAAGGGCTTTGAGTCGGAATGTCCTTGGGGTGAATTCTGACTCCACAACTTGGGACCTGGAGCAGGGTTTCCTCAAGACTCAAGTTCCTTGTGGAGGTGACAATAGAATCCCCACAAACGATAAATGTGAAGATTTATTCTGAGTGTTAAGATTAACTTTTCTGAGACTTATTCTCTGTAGCTTGGTCCCTAAAATGTTCAGTATAATTCAGCTCCTTACAGTTGAGTTCTTAAAGTGATTCATCCTGGCAGAGCATTGAGGGGACATATCGAGTTCCAGCCTGCCAAGTAATAAGAGATACAACTCCAAGACCTTGATCTCATCTCTGTATCCCTCCAGGGATAGGGGCTGACACTTCTATAAAGTGCCAAATCTTGTCATCTGCCCACCATATCATAGAACTGCAACTGCACAGTGAGTTTCCCGGTCACTTGAGAGCAGGGATTTTTCAACCTCACACTATTAACTTCTCAGGTGAGATAATTGTTTGTTATAGGGGGCTGCCCTGTGCCTTGTAGGATGTTTAACAATGTCTCTGGCCTGTACTTACTAGATGCCTGTTGCACTTCTTTCCTGGTACAATGTCTCCAGACTTTGTCAAATGTCCCCCTGACAACATTGCCCCTGGTCCAGAATCATGACACTTAGATGAACCCCAAGTCAAAAATGCTGAGCTGATAGAATGAGGCTCTGGACAAGTACTGCCTATCATACTTCAATCCTCACCCTGATTACATCAGGGGACAGGCTGTGCTTCCACAAACCATAAGTAAGGGATTCTGCAATTAGCAGGTTAGTGATATACCAAGATATCAGTTTCTAATACTTAGAACCTATAAATCTTACCTTGAGTGGGAAAAAAAAGTCTTATAAAAAGTCATTAAGGATCTTGAGATGGAGAGATTATCCTGAATTCCCTGAACAGGACCTAAATGCAATCAATCACAGATATACTGATAATAGAATGATAGAGGGGTGCTTGAGAAACAGAAAAGAAGATGCACAGATGGAGGAGAAGAAGATGATGTGACCATAGAGGAAGAGTGTAATGAGGCATCCACAAGCCAAGGAATGAAGGCAGCCACCAGAGACTGGAAGAAGAAGGAGCATTCTCCCCAGAGCCAACGGAGAAGGCATCAGGCTGCCAACACCCTGATTTTGTTGGTAATAACTGATTGGATCCAGAATTATTATTTTAAGCCACCATATTTGCAGTGATCTGTTAGGGCAAACCATAAGAAATTCATACAGGTCCTACCCCAGAGTGACTTTGACCCTTGTATATTCCTGTATGCCATCACAACTCATGTCTCTGAGATCTCCATACTAAATTCTGCCACACTACCTAGTGCATGGAATGCCTGGACATTCCCCCTTGGTTTGCATGACCCATTCATAAGCAAATACTCTTTTATTGCCTAATTACAACTCAAGCAATGTTCAAGGCCCACTGGGACCCAGCAGTGAAGACAATTGAATTGGTTTTATTTCAGGTGGGGATAAAAGTTGTAGGAAAGAAGGAGAAGACAAAAAGAAGAGGTAAAACAAAATGGAAGATAACAAAACTAAGTAAATATTAGAATGTAAGAGCATTCTAGAAGTAGATTCAGACCTGTTTACAAAAACAAAACAAAACAACAACATCCAAAAAACAACAACAACAACGAAAAACAACACTGCAAGGATGTAGGGAAAGATGACTTTTTGGGAAATGATGCTGGTTCCTTAAGATTCCTTTTTCCCCTGTCAGAAGAGTAACTGACAAAGATTTTCTCCCTTTCTATAGGTTTCCTCTTCACATTCTTTTCCTTTGCTGTACAAAACTTTCTAATTTGATGCTATTCCATTTACTAACTCTCTTGGTATTATTTCCTAAGCTTTGGGGGGGGGGCGGATAGGGGATTAATATTCAGAATGTATAAAGAACTCAAATAACCCAATTAATAAATGGGAAAATGAACTGAACTGATATTTATCAAAGAAAAATAAATACAAATGGCCAAAAAAAAATACATGAAAAAATTGTAACATCATTAGCAACTAGGAAAATGCAGATAAAAACAACAATGAGATTTCATCTCACTCCAGTCAGAATGGCAATTACTGAGACACAAACAATAATAAATGCCAGAGAAGATGTGGAGAAAAATGAAACACTTTTATACTGTTGGTGGGACTGTAAATTAGTACAACCCTTATGGAAATCACTATGAATTGTCCTCAAAAGACTAAACATGCAACCACCAAATGACTCAGCTATACCACTCCTCGGTATTTATCGTGAAGAAGTAAAGTCATACTGCAGTGATAAATGCATAGCCATGTTTATAGCAGCACAAGTCACCACATCCAAACTATGGAACCAGCCACAGATGAATGGATAAAGAAAAAGTGTTCTGCATGCACAATGGAGTTTTATCCAGCCATAAAAAAACAATGAAATCATGTCATTTACAGGAAAATGAGTGGAACTTGAGAACATTATGTTAAATGAAAGAAGCCAAACTCAGACTGTATGTTTCTTTCACATGTGAAAGCTAAAGAGGAGAAAGGAAAAGAAAGGTGCTGGTGGAAAGATTTCATGAAAATTGAAGGAGATCATAGAGGAAAGGGAGCATGGGGAGGTAACGGGGGCGGGGAAAGAGGGGAAAAACTGGGGAACGATAGTGGCCAAATTATACTGTTATATTATGTGCATGTACAAATATGTAACAACAAATCCCACCATTATGTACAACTAGAATGTACCAATAAAATTAGGCAAAATAAAAAATAAAAACATTCCTTTTCCCCCATCTCACAGGGTCCCCAAATCAATTCCAAATGGATTGCAGATCTGTATCCATGGGGATTCTCCCAACCATGATAAGCAGATATTTGAAAAATACAATTGCATCTGTACTGAACATATACAGACATTTTTTCTTGTCACCTTTTCCTAACCAGTACAGTCTAACTGCTTATGTAGACTTTGCATTATATTAGGTATTTTAAATAATCTAGACAGGATTTAAAGTGTATGGGAGGATGTGCATGAGTCACAAGGAAGTAGTAAGTCCTTGTTGTACAAGGGACTGAATACCGTGGATTTTCGTATCCTACTGAGTTCCTGGAACCAATCGCCCAGGGACATAGAGGGACAACCGTAGTCTGATTTAGACTTGTTGTGCGTGTGTGTGTGTGTGTGTGTGTGTGTGTGTGTGTGTGTGTTGGGAATTGAACACAGCGTCTTATGCAGGCCCCCCAACAAACAAAACCTCTGTCTTCTACGTGAAAGATGAATTAATGATGTATTTGCCTCTGACTTTATGCTGAAAGGGTTAAGTTCATTCTTCCTATTGGAAAATGGCTTCCTTCTTCCCAGCAGGAGGCAGTGTGATAATCTTGCAAAAACTTCCCAGTCTCATTTCTCACCACCTCCTCTGAGGCCTCTTGGCTGAGAATCAGCTTTATCTACCGTGTGTGGGACCGTGGGAGGGAAGGGTCATCTCCCTTAGACTGCTTCTGAGGGGGCTATTAAAAAGACAGCTTTACAGGACGTTTATAGTGTTCCTGATCCTAGAGGGCAGGCCTGCAGGGTCTGGCAGGGGAGAGGGTTTGCGTGTGTTCTGGAAGAAGCTGCTGTCTTCAGATCCAGATGGCCCATGATGTCACTGGAAAAAAACCCTGAAACATGCTACAAGAAAAGAACTTTTTATGACTTCCTGTGTGATGTTCCCATGCACTGGGACTTGAGGTGGCGGAAAAGGAATTGAAAGGCTCTCCTTCTTCCCA